TCGTTACCAAAGGCAATAAGGTTGAAGCGACAACATGAATGTTGTATTTAGGTCAAGTGTATAGACACAGATCAACTTTATATTTACGTTCTGGATTCGCAGCAGGTGAAGACAAATACTTCGTGGGAGACACTGTTTTCACCGATATTCTAAAGCCGTGTGCTCAAGTAGATCCGAGAATTAGCAAAGCCAAAGAGTACTCATTATGAGAGATCGGAATGCTTTCCATTTCATAAAGTCACATAGGAAACTAACATTTCAAAAGGGGGTTTCCATAAGTTCGATTGTTCTTTTTTTTACGATATGCCTGCGCCTGAAAAAGGCCCATGATAAACACGTCAACCATCAGCGTGTTTCCTCAAGACAGGTTTTTACCTGCCGTACTATGATAAAAATAGGGAGGATCGGGGCATAGCAAAAGACGTCTGGGAAGGAAGCTAGTCGGTTGAAGCTGTTTGACTACGACCGGACATCGATTAAAAGCGTCTTAGACGCTCCTTCTACCATCCCTGCCATTTATTTGCTTGCCTCCTGTTTTTCTTCTCCTCCGGGGACCGGGAAAGAAAGGGTTAAAAAGCTAAGTGTTCAGGAGCTGAGGATCAAATATTGGATTTATGGCATTTTAGTGGGGCCACACTCAAAATTGAAAACAAAAGTGAACGATTTATTCCATTTTTACCGGAGAGGTCTTGTCGCAAAATGGTGTATAAATACCAAGGATGACGTCGGGGTCTTCCTGTAGGTGCGAAATGCTGCCACGTACGCATGCATGTTACGTTTAGCCCTTTTTCTGTATTGATTTTTGTAAAAAAAAAAAAGGTGTCTGCTTAAAGGGAATTTTAATTTAATGTTCTTACGACTTAACTATTGATAAAAACTCAAACATTGAAAAGTAACCGCAAACAGTAAAGACTCACTGCCAAAGCCACCACAGGTGTGGATTTGTTTTGGTTTTGGCATCCAATACGACAGTTTGTGAAGCCAGATGGTTTCAAAGGGTTTGACTTAGTGCATACAGGTACGAAATTATTTCCACAAAATTAAAAACCTAGATTTCAGCTGTAAATAAGGAAACAGGTCTAATGGTGTTGCAATTGCTCATTGAATGACTATCATGAGCATGGTGAACAAAAACACATCCAGCAAACGAGAGCTTTTAAAATGCATGACTGCACCACGCCGGACATTTTACGTATAACGTATTCGAGTGACTCACTTTTGAGTTTAAATCGGTGGTAGACGGCCTAAGCGTGATAAGCATCCTCCCCGTTCCAGTTTTGCATCAATGTCTTAATTTGGATCCCCGATCAGAGCTCTCTTTAATGACACAACGGCAACCTGCTTGGCTGATCCTGACTCTCGTTTCCACTGCTCGCCCAACATATTGGTCAAAATGAGTTCAACAAGGCGTGTAGAGTCAACGACCGAAAAAGAGGATTCCACAGCACCACCGCGGGGCTGTTTACTATAAGCCAGGGGGCTGTACGTCGTTGTAGGAGGGAGGGGAATGGTGGTACGGTGGCCAAGGCTGGCCATGACTAGCCTTGATTTCAGTAAGGATTAGTAGGCTTGATCGCGCTCCCAATAGTTGATGGCTCCAAGACTGACAGCTGAACGGGGAGTTGGTGAATTTTCTACCTCCGGTCTCATCTTGGCAAGCTATTGCCCTCGTAAGGAGAAGGCACAAGGGATCAGAAATATAAATTTTTTTATGCAAGACTGCAGACAATGAATCAAATCCTGCTAGATTCAGTTCACAATTTTCCATAAGATATCCACTATAGCCCACAGGCCTCGGTTGCATAGCCTCGTTATTTTAAATTCCAATTTAAGGGGAAAGAACACAACCTGGGAACATACAAAGTTATACACCAGTTGCCAGGAGAAACGTCAGCAATTTGTGAATAAACACCAACTATGAGGACATTAATTAAACTGAGAAAGCTGTCGACAGGCATTTGTTTCTTTCGGGAAAGATTGTCTGTAATATAGCGTATTGTCTTATAACCTGTTACGACGTGAGCTCTTGTATCCGCCAGAAAGTAATAAAACTTATCCACTCCACAAGAGTGTGAATCGAAAGTGACCTGTCGACACTATAGCTGTCTTATTGTAAGCGATGCTTTCCGTTCGTCTATCCAATGAAATAACACCCAGATCGATCGATGCCATTACATAGTAACTACGTGCATCACAAAATGGAGTGATAATGGCAGAAAAAACACTCATAATGGCATCGTTTTAGCATTGCATGGTATCGTTAGGTTTGGAGGAGTTCCAGACCGAGAAAAACAATTTGCTTCCGGCCGTGCGATCAAAGCCTTCACGCGCCAATATTGAAAATCTCTGGGACGACGGTTACGCCTAAGTGGATGTGACTTTGAATGTATGAGTAATCGTTAGTGTTACTGCTGTGGCCTAGATTACTCAATTGAAAGTTCCCCGCCTGCTGCAGGTTTAGAGGTGTCATTATGCCTTTCTGCCATTGTACTATGTCACTTGCAATTCGGTCGGAAAATTGTGTTACACGCGCCACTTTGAAATCGGAACACTACTTAATATTCCTAAAGAGTTAGATGTATCCACTGTACTATGTTGCATGACATCCTGCATGTATCAGGCATCTATTTCGATTGAGGTTACTTGCAGACGCCAACCTAAATATAATCATTTACATCAATCAATTTACATAAACCAGGTCCGATTTGTAGTCGTGATGTTGAACCATAGAGCTACAAAACCATGGTTGTATCAATTCCGCGCGTGTTGTGACGGATCTTTACTCCTCACATGATCCGTTTATACCTACCAGCAAGACCTATAGACGCACTTTGCATCTCCACCGTAATCCCCAACCGTGCCCCCCTCCCCCGGACTTTGGTGAAACGAAAAAGAAGTTTTTTCCGAAGCTATCAGCAAAACACCGAGTGCCCCCTCCGAAAAAAGAGGTTACAAACATCACTGTACCGATTCATCTAGGAACTGAATTAGGAGTGATTACTGTGGTGGAACCACGCTTGCTCGCAGGCAGTCCGCTCGCGTTAAATATCTTTTCCACCAATTTGCCTCGAGCTGAACCAAGAGAGGACATAATTTTCTTAGCAACGGAGACTCCTTTGGTCGGAACTGAATTTTCGCTGGTTCATTAAATGTCTATGAAACACACGCGTTACGGTCGCATTGCTATCCACAAAATGAATACTCCCGACCAATAATTATGGATCTTCTGAACCGGTGAGGGGGTGCTTAGGTTTGAGGTGAATAGGAAGCTGCACTTGACAAATGCACGCCCACATCAAAATTTAAAAACGCCCATGTGTGGTGCAATCACAGTAATGGTGTCTCGTCGGATTAATCCATAGTTGGGCCCCTTCTGACAGAGCACCGATCGAATGTCTCGCGATATTTTCAGTCACTCGTTAATTCGTGTACTTTTTTATCATTACAATTTAAACTGAACAATCCCAATCACAAAAATGACCTGGATTGGAATGGTGAATATTCGACTCCAGCAGGCTTTAATGTCCGTTTAAAGGAGAGCCAACGTGACAAAGTGCGTTGACCCTGTGAGATACAGGCCCTACACGTCTCTAGCACCTGAGCTGACGGTAGGTGGAAGGTATAGATGTAAAACCCCCTGGCTTCGTGGAATAATTGTCTGGAGCATCAATCAGGTATGGCGATCACGGGCCCCGGCAAGCCCTCATGGACGCCCCTTCAGACCCCGTATTTGTCGTCGCTCTCTCCGCTGATGATCAAGTACGTGTTCCCCGTACGCATTTATCAAACCCGAGTACAGAGCCGCTTTTTCCCGCACAAACAACTCTCCCCAGATTGAATCTCTGGTTCAGCCTGTAATAATGATCTGTTGCTAACTCGCTGTCAGGTAGATCATAGAGTCTCATCGTTTGATTCCGGGACCAACTGATTACTGCTCGCAATCACTGCTTCACAAGAGTTTGGCCATTTAAAGGTTTGGCTGGCGATACAATTCATCAAATTTGGGTACGAAACCTTATTCTTTTTTTTCTTTTTCTGTTTTTTTTTAGAGTTTCCAACTCGACAGTGGTGCACATGGGGGTGGGGGCGGCTTCAGACCCCAAGAGGTGTTTTTTTCTGGAAAACGAAGGCAACACAATATACATGTACACCTTCTTAAAACTATTCAGCTCTGATATAGCCCAAAATCCTACTTCCCTCTGACGTAACCGGGGGAGAACTCGAGGGCTTGAGCATAACATATATGCAAGAGATGAGACGGAGAGAACCCCCCCCCGCCGCCTTGTGTTGGTCATTGTCTCACTGGAATATGAGGAATTCTTTTCAGACATCTAGGGGGGGTATGTTAGATAATACTAGCCAATAGTGTGTATGGGGATTGGACATGTTGGCAGATACCCCTCGGTCTCATTGCTGGCTTGTATTGAGCATAATGAGTTGGGGATTCGGTCCCCCACGACAAATCCTTGGTACGCCAGTGCAACTCCATCCGTTTGTGTTAGTCAATTTCCTTCATGTCTTTCTCTAAGCCTTTAATTCTTTCCAAATACCAATGACGCAAGACGAATAACTTTTAAGACGTGGGTCAAAATGTAGTTTTTGTTGGCATACAAGCCAAAAGAACTTTAAAACAAAATAAGGTGTTTGTGAGAACACCTTGCTGGCAAATTAGATGGTAAGACCAACTGACAGGGTATGGCCCATGACCTTTGACCTCCATATTACTGCATTTCATTTAGTGTGATCAAAGCCTTTCTTCGTGACCGTTCCAGTGTTCTTGAATCGAAACAGGAACAAAAAAGCTGATAAAATATTAACAACTGCTGAGTCAGAGAATCCCAGCATTGCAAGTCTTCCACTGTATAGCTATTAAACGCATTCATGCGTTGCAATGGCAACAAACCGAAATACTGTTCCTGAACTGATGTGAAAAATGTCGGCTAATCTTACTTGGACTGCAATTATGAATAATGAATTATGAAAAAAAGTTTCTGTCTTACCTGGGACATCTACCCGGAATTAGATGTTAGCCTTCCCATGGGTAAAATGATAGACGTAAAACTCTGGGTTACGGGAAAATCCGTAGACCGTGGCCTCTCGCACTCCGGCACGATAAAACCTGACCAGTGAGCGTCAGCTTCGATTTCTGCATAGACAATCGAAAAGCAACGGCTTAAAAGCATTACAGCATGGCACGGTGTAGCCTGGACACCATACTGAACGGTAGCTGAAGAGTCAGTGTACAGCAGGTTGGATTACCATTCAGCGCCATCGGCGAAGAACGCCCCCAGCTCGAAGCTAGATCGCCCGTATAAGTGAGACGAACTTTTTTCACACGCCAGGACAGTACCGGCAAGAAATCAGTCATTCTTTTCCTCCAGCCCTAAAATCCGCCGCTCAGTGGAGTCCAAGATCGCTGAATAAACCCGAGGACAGGGATCGACACGTATATCGAGAGAGGCGCTCGTGGTAAAGGCGTGATGAATAGACCTATGTAGAGCTGATGTCAAAGGTTACGATGTGACGACAGAGGAACAGATTCTGTTTTCCGGTCACATTTCGTTCCGAATGAGTTGCCTCCTTGACAGGCTATAAGTGGGTTGAGCAAGAGAACGACAAAAGACAAATATACTAAGAGATATTGGTAGCTTGCTTGTCTGTGTGAACAGTATGAAAACATGCATGACGTTGGCAGGCTCATATATAGAAACTACGACTACGATTTCCATTTACTTTTAAATTCATGATTTAATTTCCAAAGCATTGCAAAGATGCAAACATATATGGTATCAATCACCCCATAATTTGTAACACTTCACAATGTGATGCGAGGGAAGCCTGCTAGCAAAAAATAAAAGATAAAAGAAAGACAATCCTGGTATCTGAAATAAGACCTGTTTGGTACGCAAGATAATGATGTGTGCTTGGTGTCAGCCAGCGTAAAGAGGAAAATAGCAGTTTGCCTGCTTCCATTCCTAAATTACCGTGCGTGACGAATAACCCAAGGTTCGGATTATAACCAAATGGTGCATATACTGAGGCAAAATAGCACGAGGGATGCATCAGACAGCTAGGCCCTGGCTTTTTTCTTCTCCATGTATAACTGTGGAGCCGTCGTCAGCGACTGCGTGAGTTTCCTTCCAAATATCTTTCTTTTCTCTTTCTTTTCTCGGAAGCCCAAGGGTGAGCTCAAGACTCGGCACTGACCCTCAAAAGGCATATGGGTTAATGAGTTGTAAGGGTACACGGAATTAAATAGATGTCTCGTTTTAGTCAAAGCCGAGATTGTGGGGAGATCGTGCCTGTCCGGAGGTAGGGTTTATTTGCATTTATTTGCCTTTATAACAGTGAAGAAATTACCTGTTTGTTAAACTAAATTTTCAAAGGATACAAAAATACTTAAATTCGTGCGTGCCTCTCGAAACAAACTGCGATGAACAGTGAAACAACATAAAAATGTAAAAGCATTTTCGACAGTTAGTTCTAAAAAAAATCTCATGCAAATAAAATGCCCTTCTCTTCATCATTGAAATGCCATTAGGAAATTTAGTATGGCTTTGGTGTGGTATAGTAATGCTCATGAAACGTCATACAGTTTTTATAATTCCTTAATCATTTAAAACTGCTTTGATATCAAGTTTCCCTCTTTCTTATTTCCTTTTCTTATGAAACAGAGAAATAACCTATATCTTAGTCTGCACTGAATTCATGCAAACGCCTGCTTGACTCGTTGCCTTGACTCGCAAGATTTCCGCTTTATTTCTTTGGGCCGCAGACTTGCTTCAGTGGAGGCAATGGTATAAACCATTTGGAAAAGAGGGCCTCTGAATTCGTTACGTCATAGTTACGTCTTACGCTTTCACAACTACTTGGTCTGTATCGAGAGCCTTAATGCAGTGAAGTTTACGACATTTGAAGGGGTCCTTTTATCACCTACCGCCCCGACTTTGCCTCAAAGTGGGGGAAGATTCGCATAGTCCTGTCAAACTTACGTTTGACGGATGATGGGAGACAAGCGTATACGATGAGAATAGGGGTCTCCCGATAGGATGATCGTTTTTAAAAAGTAAGAGTTACCATTTCCGTTGTGATGTGCACTGCTTGAGTTCTGATTGTTTTCCTGCGTTGTTGACTTCCAAAGCAGCTGCATGGGAACTTTGTTTCTGTCGTCTCGGTCCATAATCTGGACTAATGTGTGCCTATTACAGGAACTCGTTTCCTGTCAGAGCAGTGCAGATCGGTCTTTTCTCCGTCATACCTGAGCGACATGCGTCACTCTTTGGCATAGATGCCTTCTTAATGGCTTAAAATCCGATTTAAGCAAGCTAGCACAAGCTCAGTGCAACTCCATAGCATTTGTCATATAGCAAATATGTGAGTTTTATAGCGTAGAAATACAACACGACCTTATCAAAAACTCAAAGAGATGAATCCGTGCGTCACAATTGATCATTAAGTTTAAACAGCAGGGTAATATGGAAAACACTTCATAGTGCTTGGGGATGTACTTTAAAATGTACATCTGAGACAACATCTGTAAGTCAACATCTCAAACACTCTAAGTTCTCTCTAAAATTCTGCGGAGCCATATTGCTTTGAAATACTGCAAAGATTGAAACAACAATCCACGTTTTGTAACTTCATTTCTTTACTTTACCTAAATGTGTTACTCCCTCAGCCTCGATTTGCTTCGCTTCAAGGTAACCTCAAAATGAAGTGCCTCAACTATATTTTGTAAAAGGTGAAACCCACAGCTTCAATATCAACTCAAATGAAATGAACATTGATAATGTCCTAAGGCACCTACCTAAACGAAGTGCCCTTCCCCTAACCATTCAAGTTTCCATCTTAATAGCTACCCCAGTTCAACATTCGACCAAGCTGGAAAAAGCCACCAAAAATCGTTCGAATCACACCCTGAGTATGTTTCATTTTTTAATCCCTTCATGTTAGCACATCCATCGTTGACGATTTACTAGCAGGTGCCACTGGAGATGAAACAGTCTAACATGAATGGTCACAGTGCAACCACGAGGCCTGTTTAATTAACACGTCTTTGATAAGAATTAAGTTAGACGCCACACAGTCTTCTCCTAAACACGTGGACACCAATCTGCAATTTGAATTGAGAGTCGAGTCATCGCATTATGTTTTGCAAGCTAAAAACTGTAAGCCTCATATCACATATATGTGTCTCCTTGGAGCTGTTTTCATTATGTCAAGATTTATTTGCAGTGGCAGAATGGAACAAGAAAAGCAGATTTCATTCGTCACTCGACCCATTTTTGTATAATAACCCGCTTTCATGTAATCTGTTTTTATGTCTAGCATATTGAATTTCCTGGTACTAGTCATTACCCTGTAATCCAACATTAATGTACAACAACATGGTTAGTCCTTCTTCACCTTTGTTCTACGTTTGTCCTGTGTTATTCAATGTCCTGAATAATTTCAGCTCAATAGTGTGACAAATTATTTTGGACCTGCGAATGTTATATGACAATGATGGCTTACCTTTTGAACATGTTTTGTCTATAACCTATTTTAATACATTACCGTGAGTGTCAATGTACATGCCTGCTAAATTTGTCAAATGTGTGACAGATATGCACGAATGCCCCCAAAGGATGCACCATTTCAAACCTGTCCATATCACCATCCGCACTCGACAGTGCATCTCAAGCGAAACAAATTTTAAAATGTCATTGGAAATTAATTGTACATTTTGAAGTGATGTGTTCTTTGTGCTGATCTTTCTTGACGGGCAGCCAGATAGCTAAAACACATGGCACAGGTAACAGACGCTGTACACCAATCATTTGCGTTTCTGAAAGTCTGCACGGTAATGTCGTGACAACTTAAAAAAAAAAATTCTTAAAAGCGTTTTGAATGTTTCAATATCTAGTAATCATTTGATATATTACTAAGCACTGTTCCGAATAGCCTTCGTGACTGCGATTTTATAATGTCTGAAATTAATGTCAGAGTCGTACGCTCTTGATTACAATATTGCAGTTCAGATTTTGATTTATCATTTCGATAGATTGAGACTTTCACTTTGGCAATTTTTCTAATTAGCTTCTTCAATAGGTGTTATGTGATCTTTAAAATTCCCTACACGTAGTCCTTTATTTTTTCATTGTTTGGTTGAATTACGTCGCCCACGCGTGTTCCAGATTTCATAATCAATGATGCAATACTCAGCCGATTAGGGCAGAACAGCTAACAAGTAAATGTTATTTCCAAAGATAAATCACATCTTGTTCCAACCTTCATGGTTCAAGGATGTTTATTGTCTCCTGTCTTCGTCTAATTAAACGTCTTGGATTAGACGGATTGCACCATTAGTTGGGCGTGTCCGTCACGCACAGGATATGTGGTGCGTGTCAGCATTCATCTGTAATCTTGGAAAATGTTTTTGCCATATAGCCGGTTTGTGCGCGCTGATGAATGTCGTTCAGTAATACCTGAAAGGTCCTGAATATTCACTTGTAGTTGGTGTAACGGATCAAAATATGCCCTGAGACATATTTATAACAAGATATTTCGGGCATGAACATGTATATTAGCAGGATTGCCTTAGTTAATAGTGGCACAAATTAACTGTAAAATCGTAAAGACAAGATAAAATGCATTTTTTACCTGTAAATTATTTCGTCCACAAATTAGGCCAAATGTCAAGATGCTATCGCTAAATCACTTGTGCCTGTAATATTAATGATGCGGCAAGCTGCCGACCCAAAAAGCTCCAAAGAATCAGTCCTCTCTACGTTGCGCGCGTTGCGCGCTTTTAATGAAACAGCATCCACGCCATCTCTTGCCAAATCTGATGATCTCGCAGATAATCTACCGTCAACATTTCATTACAACGGAACGTCAGCTCTCCTACGAGCACAGGTCTGGGTAAACTGACTTTATAAAAGGGAACCTCGGATGCTTGTTGGTGGGACGATGGGCAAAAAACGTTGATAAGCGACAAGGGGTAGAACTGAATGCTATTTATGGCTCCCTTAACATGATAAGGCGTAACGAGCTAAAGGCAAAGGGTGGTCTTCTTTCTACAGGTTATAAATGGTGGATAAACGTAGATGCACTTTCCAGAAAGATAAATCTTTTCTAGCTAAATTTGTATACAGAGGTACCTGGAATTGTTATTAACAGTCAGAGCAGTTACGTCAGTAATCAAATTCGCTCAAGTACAAGGCTAAGGCAGTTTGGGATAACACCTTGATCAGTTTTTTTAAACAAAGCCACTTCCCAATATGTGCCTCTCGATATTTTCTGTGAGGTCCCTTTGGCAAACCGTAGAGTGTAGACAATTTGGGTTAATGTGCCATACAGAAACACTTGGAGTAAGGCTGAGGTTATAACCTCAACGTCTTCGTTCACAACCAAAACAACCCCGAAATCACGAACCCGTTGCAAACATCATTCATTAATGTCACAGTGCTTTCTCTCTCTCTCTCTGCCTCTCTCGCTACGTCTTCAGTCCCACGATTCAACTGGACCCCATGGCCCATTGGATCTATACTTGTGAATCAGGTTCTTCTTAATAGATTAATACAGAAGTGGCTCCATTCCTTCAAGTTGACAGCCTAATTGCTCACTATCTGAATTATGGGGGTGTCGTGTCATCAATGGGATAGGAGACCTTATAGACAAATAAAACATGATCCCCCACAGGGAAGAACCAACTGTCGAATTAAAGCAGGATCGGCAGTTCATATTCCGTCCAATTCCCTAACTGTCTCATCCGGATCGATTTGAACGATAACATCCTACATTAGTGTCAATTTTCAAACGGATCCCTCCTTGGTGGGGATGGAATTTCAGTATGGTAGCTCATAACTTTGAAAGTCAAGGTCTTCAATTTGCGTTGGACTTGAACTGCGTTTTCTCCAAACATCACAGTTTCTAATTCGCAAATGGCATTATTTTTGACTCGCTACGCCACGGGACAGCGCTGCCATGTACTGACACGCAAAGGTGAAAGTACACTGGTAGAGTGCATAGCAAGTGTTCACAATGTAGGTTTAAGTGCCATTCGCTCATTTTCAGGGTGCACGGCATGACATTGAAACTGTTGAAAGAAATGAGGCTGTCTGCATGGAGCGCCATGATGCTACGGATGCTTACAAGCGCCACAATGCCGCTGTTGCTACTAAGCAACCTTTCCTTCTTGCCTCCTTCCCAATGTTTCAGCGACAAACGGGCTGAGCCCATCCTCGAGGAAGCCTGCAATACGCACAGAAAGTAGTGAAACGTCCACTCTTGGTGCGCATTAAACATCCTTTCCCCGGGAGGGCGCCTTAAACATCCGCTGCACATAATGGATAACAATTTGGTTTGAAAGGATCTCGAAAGCAGCAGAGGCCGCGGGACGACACAACAGTATTTACGTCAGTTTGTAACAGAAAGATATCAATCTTCCGTGCCGTCGTTGCAATGCCAGCATTTCCCCGCGTATCTGCGCCCGATGATGTATCCATGTTTCGTGGGGAGCTTGCGAGTATAAACCTGTCTTGCCCTTCGGGGATTTTACAGTAACAGCACTGGTTCACGATCATATCAATGGTCTACCTGCAGCCCCCTGCTCAGGAATAATGTGCAAAGTAGGAAGATGGATAACTTACGATGAATCAGTCGAGTTGTTCTCCCTGCGGTGTGGTGATAAACTGTGTCCAGTGCCCGTCAGCATGCACTTTCCCTCCAAAACACTCCTCTCGATGACGAAGATGTAAACCCATAAATCTCAGAAATTCACGTCTCGAAAAGGTTTCGTCGTTCTTCATCTAAAACACTTTTCTTGATCTGGAAAGTAAACGTATAAAACAAATTATGCTACAAAGCTCTTGGGTTAGCGTTTTAGTATAGTTTAGTATAGTTTTATACAATAAATCTACTATTTTATCACAATGAGATAATAATTTTTTCAACTTTATCAAAGGAGCAATGTTGTTTTGAAAAATGTACTGTCATGCAAAATAAAGTGACTTCTTACGGCCATTAATATGGCGATTTTTGAAGTTAATGTGACGCAGGGCAGACTACAGAGGCGATATAAAGTACACCATACAAAGTACAAGAATGGCTCATACTCTGTGAAGCGAAATTGAGTGGCACAATCTCTCAGAGCACTAATGAAGGATCAGAATGCTAGAAAGACACTAATTAATCAACAGGAAATGGTCAAAGATAGTTTAGAAAGATGCATTAGACTTTGACAACGCTCAGCTGATCCCGCTAATAAAGGCTCTCTCGCATTAGCATTTATGACGACGACCAAAGCTAACAATGATGGCTCCGGGGGGAGCATTGGAACACTTCAGGCAATAGACAGGTTGCCGAAGAGGTCCCACCCCGGGATGACTGCGAGCGCCTTCTCGCTCTCGTCCTCTCCCCTTGAGTGATTCTTTTTAATTAAGCAAAAAATTGAACGTTTTCCTCCCTCTCTCCTTAAGAGTACATGTACACGGAGTTACCAAGCACCTGAGCAAGAAATACAAATTGGTTAAATGATCTTATTGTGTTGTTTGAAGTTTGCACGAATAAATATCGTTCTCCAAAAAGTTTCCTAGCGGAAATTGCATCAGTAATTAAGAGTGACAAAAACGCATGTAAACATCCTTAATCGTCATTAATGAAGTCACCGCTGCTGCAAGTTCAGTCGTCGTGAAGATCAGAAATCCTCCTTGGAACACTGAAATCATTCTTACTTTCCCTAATGCTTTTTTCATACCTTTGCTCTTCCAGCAGGTTATCGTCGTACACCATAACCATTTTGATGTTTGGTGTCACTGAAGTCATTGTCACAGCCACCGAAATCACACTTCAAAAACAGCAGTGAAACGTGGAATCTGTACTGGACGAGTGGTTCATTACAGTACGCGCAGGCTAACGAGGTGTTTGCTATTTGCAATAGACGTTTTTTCAGTGCACCAAAACAGTACTCCTCATGAATTCCTCGCATCTCAAACGCTATCGACCATTTTCTCGCGTCTGATATCACTGTAATTACTAAAATTCACAAAAACAAGAAACAACTTGGAAATCAACAGGGTAGGGTTCGAATACGATCAATTAACAACTCCTTTAAAAGAAATCCGGACATCACCGGGCTCATTACAGTGCTCTTCACAATCCTGCGCGCTTATGAACGTTGCGGTCGAATCCATGACCCTAGTCTTGAAGGTGACAGAATCTCCACCTATAACGGGGGGGGGGGGAACCGCCGTGAGCCTCAGTAATTAGTCAGCTCTCGTCAAAAAATTCACGCATAACATCCGGAGGTCCTGTTCTGGCACTCAAGGGGCACTCGAGAGGCCACTGGAAAGGCTTCTTAGAGGGTGGTTTATCCAGGCAAGAGGACAGTGTGAGGTACTACCTCAACAAGTACCGGGAAGGAGCCAAGCAAAGAAGGGAAATAAACGTGGGACAGTTGGAGTGCTTTCAAAAGGGGCCAATTCTAGCATGTGGCAGGGCTAGCGCCGCAATTTAGTCGATGGTGTTGGCTGAAGTAGCTTGGTAAATGCAGTCAAGTGGTGCATGGATTGAAATGCTAATGAAATGTGCTCGTTTTATTTTACATTTCACATGTGTTCACCTCTAATGTTCTCCCTCTCTACCTTCGTCTTAAAAATGTATCCGTAGGAGGTTGGTATTATCAGAGTTATTTAGCCAGATACGAAACGCGTATCCCATTCGATGTGAGCCAAAAATTAACCGTGGCCGGGCTTGTTTAATCTGAACATCATCTCCCAATCAATCAAAGCTCTCAAAAATAGACTTCGAAGGACCCCTGCGTGCTGTGGCTACAGTTCTGGGACCTCGAACTCGAGAGTCTGTCACCGACTGACGAAATTCGACGGGGGAGTAATCTGAGCTTGTAAGCCGCACTCATCAACACTTCCAGATCGAATTAGTCGATATACGTTATTAGAGGATGCTTTATAATCAAGCAGTTGAAGGAAACAACAGGAACAATGGCGAAGCATCGACGCCAATGCATTCTAATTGACGGGTTTAAGATCACACAGCGTATCAACGAAAACTGATTAAGCTTAAGAATACGAATAAAAACACAGACTTCGAAACATTTTGGCTTAACTATTTCCGTTAATAGAGTAACTTCTTCTTTGCAGATCTACTCCTTTAAGTTGGAAAAGATATAAATATGAAAAACACGCGTCCTTGAGAATGTCAAGTTAAGTGTTGCCACGAACAATCCTTCACCTCAATGCATAACACGACAAGTCAGTGAGAACACTGGAACTTCCAAGTGATGATTAATTATTTTGTACCACGAAGCTCGATTATCAGCCATGATTAATGTGGCTCCAGTTCTCATCAGGCCTAAAGATATTATGGTTTCAATATTTCTTGATTTCTTATCCAGATCTAAGACCACTGAAGTCAAGTGTATGTGGGGCTCATATATCACGGGTCGGTCAGTTCTAATGCGCTCGATATTTGCTCGTTCAAGCATTTGGTCTTTCTGCTTATATGTTCTTTAAGGCTGAATATTACCTTATGAAAGACATGCGCAACTAACATGCATCCTATTACCGATGCAAGTAATGTAATATTTTCTGAGTGAAATATGGTGTGAAATCGGTGGTGAGTGGAGAAATGTCACACCTCGGAGTCAGTGTTGCATTGTACAAATGAGACTTTCACGGCTGACCGAGGCAAGGCTGGCCGTGACATGACATCAACAGCAGCCTCTGTCAACATATTATTAGGATAGCACTTCTTGATAACCCATGACTGGAACCTAAAACGCTTCATGAGTTAAAGAGGGTGCTCTTAATGATATGCAGGAGTCAAAGATCACATACTGTATATCGGTCAGTTAATGCTGAAACGATAATAGGAAGGGGTTAGAGATTTCCTGAGAACACTTACCATCATAAACTTCGCCTAGAATAATTATATATATACAGATATGGTAAGCTGCATTTTGTGCCAAAGATGTTAGACACAAAACAATGGTGTGGACATCAATACTTCAAGAATAAAGCACAAGCTTAATTACTATTTAAATAACGGTCCTTGACTTGCCAAGATAAAGTGGACAGGAAGCAGTGTCCTGGATTTGTACAATTATGAGAGTGGTTTGCACTCAACCAGACGTGCTGTGATTCGGCAGCTAAAGCTATTGAGTCTGCATTCCGAAAAGATGGGTCAAGCTTGCAAATCCCCCAGTTCGTCAAGTCCACAATTTTGGCTTCAGTGTTAAGCGGCATTTGATTGGGGACACGAGAGAGGAAAGGTCCCGCTCAAACCCGGCGCAAATTGAGCAAATCAGCGAGGATTGCGTTTCGTGTAACGACCTCCGTCATGTCGAGAGGTTCCATCGCGGGCACAGTTCCCGGTCAACACGGCAGCTCGATAAGGCAGCGTTGCCTTCCGCGCGGAGCAAATCACTCCAAACTCTCGCATAACACAATTCACACACTTCCCTGTTGACTCAAGAAAATGGGAGATGCAGCCGAAGATTGTTTACCATTAGAGCCATCCGATGGAGAGATAGTGCTGGTTTAGGCTGGCCTACGTGAGACTGACGCCGGATTTTCAGTTACCTGGACCTATTAAGTGTTGATTTGAGGGCATTTTGCACACAGAGCAGCGGCAACAGACTTTTTGCGGTCGTGCGAACTTTCGACGCCTTGCTGACAAAGTTCTTGACTTTGATGTTGTGAAGGACTCTGGGGTCACGCGTGAAGCACTCCAAGTATCGAAACTTTCAGGTTAATGGGCTTTTGCACGCGCGACTTCAGAAAGGGTAAGAGTGCTTGTGGGCGATAAAAAGATAAATAGCTAGAGTTCTTTAACCGAACACTAGAAAAGGCACAGCAACCTGAGACAAACGACACATCGCGATACATGTTTATACGGCCGGTAGGGAAGATGCTCTCAGCCTCGCTGAATGTCTACGTACACTGACTCAACATTGATAAAACAAGGAACACATCTAAGAACTTTATAATTTCGTCTCGATCAAGGACTCTTCTCTTTCTATCCACCATCGGTGTGATATAAACAAGTCTTGATCCCAAGTCAATTGCTTGGTAACCAGCGGCCATCATTTATAATAAACGTAGCCTTTCATATTTGCATTCTGCACAAAACACTGAAGCTAATTCAATTCTAAACTGCTCTTCCTCGCAACGAAAACGGGACAGATGTCCACTCCTAATTTCCAGGACATGCTCGAGAAGCAAGGCGATGATACTTAAATCAGCAAATAGGCCTAATGTACCATTTTCTCCACGCAAGATCAATTCTACCACGAAAAGTATTGTAATTAGTAAGAACAAGGTCACTATGGATGCATGTTACTGACCGTACCAAAAGTCATTGACTACTAATACAACAGCAGTAAGGAACAACTCTACTTCTGAATTTCCACATCTGTAGTTGATAATGGGGTTTCGCACACTGCAAAAATTGGGGTGTTAAATTTAACACCCCTGGTGTTATCAGAGGACGACACAAACACTTTTCACTAGTGTTGAAGTTTTGGTGTTATTTAGAGTTACTTTTAACACGCTCCAGTGCATTGTAACATTTATAGTTGTGCAAAGTAACACCAGCGGTGTTAAAGTAACATCTTACGGTGTGGTCACTTGATAACATTAAAAGGTGTTGATTTTAAAATCACATTTTTCGAAGTGTAGTCTTAACACTGGTGTGGTAGTGTAAATTGAGGGCCAAGAGCACCATTAAGGGATAGTACTCATGTATATACCCAACATAGGGGAAGCTAATGAGTTTGAGATTTTATGTAAACAAAGGTGGATTATATTAGG